AGACGAGACGAGACGAGACGAGATAAGATAAGATAAGATTTGATGGGCTTTTTAAAAGTGTGCAATGATTCCGAAGATCGAATAGATTTGTCGAGTTTGGACCAAATGACAGGGCCTAAATAAGTCAGGCTATGTTTGCCATAAGCAACAGTCCAAAATCTAGGTATGGTAAAATCAGAATTTCTAAGGTGATACTGAGAATTGGAGCGCACTTGGAGTTATAATTATTACTAATAGTAATTGGACAGTGGTGTGCTAGTAAACCCGGTGGCTTACTTAAAGAGCAAGATGTGGCTTTAAGCTTTTGTCTGCCTGCTCACGGCTCGGATATACTCAGGTCATTCAGTGAAACCAAAATCAGCCCGGCGACGCTACCTATTTTGTAGAATTCTGCCCTATACTATCGCAAATGGTTCAATCTGATTGGCTGAGCTATCGTACACATCACAATTTATCAATCAGATTTTAGTATAAGGTCAACTATGGCCTCAGAAATCGAGAGCGAACAATCTTATTGTTTTAACAGACCTCTAACTAAATTTCCTCTAAATAACGATTTCTAATTATTTTTCTACGTAGTATTAAACTTCCCACTTCACACTCGCGCGGAATGGATTGTAATCTGAATTGAAATGAGCAGCTCATCAGTATTTCAACAACGTCGAGTTTATAAAATCAAGAAACCGTAAATCGGCTTCATTTAGGCTTCTCAGGTATTTAATTATCAATTTGTTTATTAACTCTCCTCCAAAACTTCGATGGGAAAACCAGAAAGCGCCTCTATTTCGTAGACTAACTACAACGACTGCACAATAAATTAACAATTATTCCACGAGCGTACATTGGATATCCAACAAGCGCGAGTAGAATAATTTCTTTATTAAAAACTCCTCCAAAACTAAAATAAAATAAAAATAAAATCGCCTCCAAAAATTACGCGTTTGCTAACCATATCTGTAGTGCATGTTATAATGGCTCACATACCATAATGACTAAGCCAATGAAAACTCTTGAATTACATTATCAAATTTTCTAATTTTCAGTAATGAGGAATGTGCTAGACAAGCCATGCTTTTTGGAGTTACGTTTGTAACTGGCGTGTGCAGTTTGTTCCATTTGACTGAACTTAAAATTGGATTCAGCGTGTGTTTGAATGGCTTCAAAACAGATTATAATGGATGCAGTTCGTAAAACTAGGTTGATTAATTGTCAGTCTACATTTCGAACTGGAAATCAGCAGATTTAGTTGTCTTGAAAGCAAAACTGTTTGCGCGCGCAAATTCAGCGCGAGGAGAAATAACATATTTCGAACGGATGATGTAAACAATGACATCTATTGTGTCGTTTGACCAGTTACGAGGTTGAAGCAGCTAGCATGGTTGAAGAGTTTGCAACTTTCAAAAGACGAAAAAAGCGCCATAATGTCAGACGAAGTGTACATGACAAGGACTAACAATGCAATTAACACGGAAACAGAGCGAAGGGTTAAGGCTACTCAGGTGATAGTGAGCGTAACAAAAGAAATTCGATCAGCAAGAATCGCATTTGCAATAGAATACAAGCGTGAAAAAATGGGGTATTTCAAATTTACACAAATTCTTGAAACGACGACTGGACCACCCATTGTGAACGTGAGCTACGCGTACCAGACAATCCCCACGAATAAGAGAAGGTAAGGAAAAAAAATAGATTGCAAATGTATCGTTTGTGACGAAGATAAATCATATCTCATACATTTTATCGAAATATTTTTATGCTGAACATTTTTCGGATTCTACTTTGCGCATTGAAAGTAGCCGTTCTAAGAGTATAAAAATGTTACCCAAGTGTCATTTAACGCTCCCCGTGTTTCCAATTAAAAGATTCTGAGAAGTAAGATTTCTTGTGAAACCGCCTGTAAAACCTAAATTCGGGGTAGAGAACGAACCGTATAAAAATTTGAAGTGGCTAGAGATAAGTTACGGAAAACGATAATTCATTTCCAGTTATCTATTTCTCGAGATGAGAACTTGCAGATACCGGTATGTTGTAATGTTGTAGAGTGCGATCAAAGAGCTACTGGCTTGTGTAGAAAGCAGTCACATAGTAACTGGGTTGTACCGAGCTCGGTCGCATAGGTAGTGCGGTTAACATTTCATATCTAAAGCGCTATATGTAAGGTTATATTAGGGAGGAAAAAGGTCAGTTAAGCGCCATGGTTACAGTCTAGAGCTTCACGTCTGTCAATATCATTGGGATCTGTAAAACATAAAGATATCAACCGAGGCAGAATAGACGATAGATAGTCCTTTAAGAAAATCTTAAGGTGTAAACAAAACAAAAATTAATTTTCAACTCCTATTTTAGGAAGAAAAAGAAGACGAAGACGAAGAAGAAGAAGACGAAGAAGAAGAAGACGAAGAAGAAGAAGACGAAGAAGAAGAAGAAGAAGAAGAAGAAGAAGAAGAAGAAGAAGGACAAGGACAAGGAGAAGAAGAAGAAGAAGAAGCAGATGAGAAGCAAGGAGAGGAGGAGAAAGAAGGAGAGACGGAAGAAGAAGAAGAGCATGAGAACGAAGAGAAGGAAGAGAGAGATCACATCGAAGACGAAGAAGGAGGAGGTGATGATAATGATGACGATGACGGTGATGTTAACGTTGATGACGTTGGTGGTGAGGACGATGACGACGATGAAAGTGAACTGGAAGATAAAGAGGACATTTTATCTGTAATCAGGAGGGTTACTGCAATTCTTGAGGAGAGGAAGGAAGAGCAAGATGGCGGGGATGAAGAAGATGATGATGACAGCAGTGGTGCTGGTGACAGTGGAGATGATAATTACAGCAGTGGTGCTGGTGACAGTGGAGGTGATGATGATAGTGAGGACGATGACGGTGATGATGCTAATGGTGGCTGTGATGACGATGACGAAGATGAGTGTGTTAAGTGGAACATGAAGAGGATATTTTAACTGTCATCAGAAGAGTTCTTGCAAATCAAGAAGAGAAAATGAAGGAACATGAGGAGGAACAGAAGGAAGAAGACGATGACGATGATAATGAAGAAGAAAAATACGACGACGACGACGAAGACGAAGATGAGGATGATGACGATGATGCTGATGGTTATGAAGGGGACTGTGATAGTGATGGTGATGACGCTGACAAAGAAGAAGAGAAACAAGTCGAAAAACATGTGAAGATTAAAGAGGAGGAACTAGAAGATGAAGCGACGATGGTTAAGGAAGAGAAAGTGGAAGAGGACAAGAAAACAGAAGAAAGAGTGAAGGTCAAGGAGGGGAACAGGAAAAGACAAGAGAGAAGAGAACGAAGCGAAGCTTAAGGAAAGTGAGGAGGAAGAGGGAGAGCAGTTAACGCTAAAAGAACAACCAAAGATGAAGAAAACGCGTAGACGACGCAATATTATAGTAGGGTGGCTATGCAGCAAAATTGTTAAGGCGTTTGTTAAAAAGAAGGTTCTTCTGTAACTTGACTTTTAAATCCAACCCAATAGACTATCTGAAGTCCACTCTTTTGTAACAACGTATCAAGAAAAGCGGGTCCATTTTGCTGACAAAAAAGCTTTGCCGTACAATCTAAAAATGACCCTCAATGGCCAATTTTCAACCAAACCAGTAGACCTTCTGAAGTCCACTCTTTTCTTATTACAATTATACGTTATCTATTAAGTGTGTCTTCATAGAAAATAAATTAAGTTTTAAATGAACGTAGTGTGTAACTGAATTTCCTCTAGCAGCATCTCCCTCCATTAAGTCCTTGTGCTAATAAGAGCCTATTTCATGAATTAATACAGAACATTTATCACCTTGATAATTGAATTTATGCTGCTTGATTCCTTTAAACTAATCCCAGTTCCCAGCCGAGGGTTTTTCCGGTAATCCGGGACTTTTAAAATTTTTCACTCGTATTTAAACACGTGAGACCCTGGTAGAGGCCTATTTTGTTTCAAGCGCTCAGGAGAACAAGCCTCTTTTCAGCTACGCCGAAGTCGCGATATTTGACCCTCCTCCGCCCTGGACCAACCAGCCTTTCTTTGTCAAGTCTTTTTGGTTTCATCTTGAGGGTATTCCCTCACCTTTGCTTCAAACTGGTTATTTGGTTACATTCGAGTTTCAATTCTTTTGTGTAAAAACGTTAAGAAAATAAACGGCTGCGCCACAAGCGCGACCAAATTATCTCCAACTCGGTCGTTACCCAACTTCGCTGTTTAAAAAACTCAGCAAACCAAGCTCAGCCAATACTGCGCCCGCCTAACATCGAAAATACATCCAGTTTTATGAATCACTGAGAGAGCATAAAGTAATATATCCAACACGAGAAACAGTGTTTCATCGGGATATCAAAACACCGAGAAGAGAGTTGAAAATACGAAGCGCAGCGGAGTATTTTTGACGAAATTAGAGGTGTTTGCTAATACCAATTTAATGCCAATTTAAAGACTAGAGCAAGTGACTATGATCTATGAGGTATCAGTAAAGTCAACTCTAAGACTAGTCTTTACGGGGTCTTCACGGGAAAATCTCAAATCAA